ATTTTAAAAGACTATTTTGGGATGAATAAGTCTTGTGGTATTCAATTAAGACTTTTAAATAATCTAAACAAGTCTTGTGGTATTCCATTAAGACTATTAGGATTTTTAAATGAGGGTGTCGAAATCTAGTGGTATTCAATCAAGACTGTAAACAAGTAACAAAAAGTTTTATGGTATTCAAAAACTCGCTAATTTCGACGGATTGTTTTAAATGTGAGATTGTGAGAGATTTTTTAATGGGAGGTATAAATACCAAGCCCTATCTCAAATCCCACCCTAACCCATCGGATTTTTCATGTGGGATTTTTTTTTATCTCTCTCTCTCTACCTACTGAAGAAGATGAACAACAAAGCATGCAGCAAGCCCAAGCCGAGCTTTTCCCAGACACTCACCAACTTCAGATAAAATAACAACGGGGAATAGCTTTTCTCAACCAATTTCTCAGCCCTTCTCAGTGGTTTTGAAACTAGTTTTCGTGCACTAAATGTCCCTGCCTTGTTCCCAGCAGGTCCAAGCACTGGCCTTGACTCTGAATCAGCCACATTGATATACCTTACTCTTGGAGCTCCTGACATTAGTATCACTCCTTTGGCTGAACACCAAATTCTCCAAGGATCTCAGCCTTTTTCCCCACTTAGAATCAAAAGAAAAATAAAATACACACTTCGAATTCAACCAGAATATGGGTTTGCCCGAGCAGCCAATATGATCCAACAAACCCTCAAATCATCAAAAACCCATCTAGAAAATTCACTAAAACCCAGATTCTTCTTTTACCTTCAAAAGCTCAAACAACCAGAAAGACCCCCAGAGACCCAAAAGCATATGGATTTGACACTTCCACTATGCACATTCATTGACCTTGCTCTTCAAGTTCCCAAAACAGATCTCAACTTTTCCACCACTTGAGCCCCTCAAAGAACAAGGATCTCAGCCTTTTTCCCCACTCAGAATCAAAAGAAAAATAAAATACACACTTTGAATTCAACCAGAATATGGGTTTGCCCGAGCAGCCAATATGATCCAACAAACCCTCAAATCATCAAAAACCCATCTAGAAAATTCACTAAAACCCAGATTCTTCTTTTACCTTCAAAAGCTCAAACAACCAGAAAGACCCCCAGAGACCCAAAAGCATATGGATTTGACACTTCCACTATGCACATTCATTGACCTTGCTCTTCAAGTTCCCAAAACAGATCTCAACTTTTCCACCACTTGAGCCCCTCAAAGTTATACTCCTACCAACCCTTTGGTCCATTCACATTCAAAATTCACCAAGCCAATACTCAACCCCTTCGAAACACCACCTTGCAGAAACCACTAAAACCCCCATTTTTCCAATGCCCAAACTCCAACTTGCCCAAAACCCCTAAGAAAGTCAAGACCCACCCAGAATTCCACAGAAAATAAGTGAAAGAAAAATAACAACGGGTAATTGTTAAACTCCTTGGCGCCAAGCCAAAGCACATTTTTCCACGCCAAGAAACCCAAAAAACCCAATATTTAAAAAAAAAAAAATCAGAAACAGAAAAGAGCAAGCAGACATTTGACCCAAAAATCTGGCATGGTAGGTATTTGTGATTATGTCCCAATGACCCAGGTTCTTTGTATTTTGAATAGTGCTTCCTTTTTGGTTGTGTTCGATCATGAATCATGAAAAGAGCAAATGTATTTTTGGAATGAAAAACAGAAAACACAATGACTAGGAAAA